TGGGAGTGGGGGATTGACATAGGCAGGGGGCGAGGGGTGGGGGCAAAAAGAGATTAACTAAAGAACATTTATGCATATATGTATAACCCATGGACACAGGTAGAAAATGAGAGACATCTGTGATACTGTCAACAATAAAATAAATTTTTTAAAAAGGGAAAGCATTAAAAAAAACAGAGAAAAGGGCAAATTATCACCAATGCAATAGCAACTTCTCAAGAACAATAATGGCAACTAAATGACAGGAAAATCTTCTATGTGCTGAAAGGGAAACTGTGTACCTAGAATTCTATACTTAGAAAAATATTCTTTTAAGAAGTAAAAGGATGGAAGTAGAACACCAGTAAAATTTAACCAAAGACAATAAGTACATTAATATCAGGTAATAGAAGAGTGTAAGGACAAAAGCATTACTAACTATAGTGCCTTTAAAAAGTCAGCATGCCTGGCCGGTGTAGATCAGCGGTTTAACATTGACCCATGAACCAAGAGGTCACCAGTTTGATTCCCAGTCAGGGGACATGCCTGGGTTGTGAGATAGATCCCCAGTAGGGGGTTTGCAGGAGGCAGCAAATCAAATGTTTCTATCCCTCTTCCTTCCTTTCTCTCTAAAATAAATGAAAACATTTTTTTAAAAAGTCGTTGTAACCCATTTCCTATTCTTTCTTTTCCCTCCTAATTCTCTCTCTGTCTCAGAGGCAGATAATTTTTCTGCCTGTTTCTCTCCATTCAGTACTTGGGCTCTTCTCACTGTTTGGCTTTCCCCTATAGGGCAGAATGCACACAAGTTGTGCCTATGGTTTCCGCCCTGGTAATGTGATAAGCATTTCTGAAAAATTTATGATTGAAGAATTTTTCATAAGATAAAAGAAAAATATGCTGGGGTTGTATTTAGCATAGACTGACCATTTGAGCCACAAGTATCTAGAAAACTGTATAACCCTTGCTTTGTTAGGGATTTTCTGAGTGACCTTGGACAGGTAATTTATCTCATTTCCCATCACTTCTTATATTCAAAACCAGAAGCCATATCTGGAGCTAGATAAGCAAAGGCACTATTAATAAAAAGCCAATCGCTGAAACCAGTTTGGCTCAGTGGATAGAGCGTAGGCTTGCAGACTGAAGGGTCTAGGTTTCGATTCCAGTCAAGGGCATGTACCTTGGTTGCGCGCACATCCCCTATGGGGGGTGTGCAGGAGGCAGCTGAATGATGTTTCTCTCTCATTGATGTTTCTGGCTTTCTATCCTTCTCCCTTCCTTTCTGTATAAAAGCAATAAATATATATTTTTTAAAAAGCCAATCATTGTGAAGTTCTGCAGGTATTTGGAAAAGCAATAAAAACCTATGTGCTGGCTACTCATTGACTTGTCACAGAGGTTTGCAATACAAAGGAGCCCAACCAGAAAAGGCTGATAAGCCTTTGAATGGGTGATTACAGCCTCACCCAGGGCAGCTCCACATGTCTGCCCCGATCCAGCTACAATTCCTAGTCTTGTGCTTCCCAAGTGATTTCAAAAGGTTCTGAAGTCCAACCCTTGACTACTGACAGAACTGCACTCAGTTGGGGGCGAGGAGGGAGGCGCATGCAAGAAGTGCTCTTTCCATACTTCTTTCTTTTACAGAATCTACATTATCAGGAAAAGAGACCCATTGCATATGTCTCTTTTCCTGATAATGTAGGCTAACTTTTAATTCCAGCGTGCAAATAAAAATTTGGAGTTGCATCTCCTTTTGAAAGTCTCAAGCTGGTCATTTCCTTCTCTCTGACAATTACTACCCAACGCGTGATTTCTTCAGGGAGGCTGCCTGCAGAGTGACCCTGGATATACTTATTTAACATCTCTGTGCCCTGTTTCCTAGAGCCTACCCCACAGGCTAGTGAGGCTTGAAGAAGATGAAGCATGAAACTTTGAGAATGTATTTGGCCCTACTTCTTTCCCGGAGCTCAAAGCTCTGAGTAGTAAAGGTATTTCTTCCGTTACTGAAAGGAGGAGAAAATGTATACTAGAAACTTCTAACTAAGCACAGATGGGGAAAAGATAAAATACTTTATATAAATTTTCAACAATGAAATTCATGGGAAATGCCATCAAGATGGTAGCAGAATCTAAGAGGAATTCATCTAAGCCCTTCACTCAACTTGGTTTTTATATGGACAATGTCTATTACAAGAGTAAAAAGAAATAAACATATAATATTTATGTATTTATATATTTGATATGAGTAGTTGGGAAGTGGGCAAGGAAGGAGAGAGGAAGACATGAAGAAAGGAAGAGGAGAGAAAAAGTCAGAACAATTTAAAATGTCAGCATGCTGAACATGTAAAATTAATACAAAATAATATTGACTATAAACTGTAATTGAAAAATAAAATTTTAAGTACTTTAAAAACCACCACCACTCTGCTGTTTTCAAACACTGGCATCCCAAGTAACCCCCTAGGATTACCACACTCCCTTATTCCCTACAGGAGCCTCCTTGCTGGGTCCTCCTTATCTCACATTATCCTCACGCCAGCTCTGCCTCCCTCTTCTGCTTCCATGTTCACCTCCCCCAGCCTTGGAACCACAGCTCTCTACCAGGTTTCAGGGTCCCTCATTCTCTGACCCTGTCAAAGGGAAATGGAAAAGTAAAGGAAAATGTTCTGATCCCACTTAACCCCAAGCCTTGTCCAGCTATTTACCTGGGTACTCAGCCTGTCTACTCAAAACTATTTCTAAATCACCCACTGGTGCTCTTGATGCTGGTTGAAATGAATAAAGAGATGCCAAGGCTCTAAGGTTTTCTTTTCAAGATAGGATTAAAGACCTGAAAGAGCTGACCCCAGTTCTTAAAGTCCAAGTGATTGTGCCCCACACTATCAGGAGAGTGACGAGGCACCGTGGAGTTGTCATGGAGACCCCTCTTGCTTCCTGTTCTCTTCTGGAGCCACCAACATACTTTAGAACAACACATAACTACCTCATCCTATCAAAAGAGTAATATTCAGATTGACCATCACTCCAACACACAAGATGGCTGCCCCCATGTGGTCAAAGATCCTGTCCCTATGTGGATACAAGATGGCCACCACAAGACGGCCAGCAGGGGAGGACATTTGGGAGACACCAGGCCTGTAAGGAAGGGCAGTTGAGAGGGACCAGGTCTGCAAGGGAGGGCAGTTGAAGGCGATCAACACTGTAGGAGAGGGCAGTTGGGGGTGGCCAGGCCGGCAGAGGAGGGAAGTTGGGGGCAAACAGGCTGGCAGGGGAGCAGTTAGATATCAATCAGGATTGCATGGGAATGGTTAGGGGGTAATCAGGCTGGCAGGCAGAAGCAGTTAGGGGCAATCAGGAAGGCAGGCAGGCAAGCAGTTGGAAGCCAGAAATCCTGGATTGTGAGAGGGATGTCCAATGGGATAGGGTCTAAATAGGCCATTTAACATCCCTTGAGTGGTCCCAGATAGGAAAGGGTGCAGGTTGGGATGAGGGACACCCCCCTACCCCGTGCACGAATTTTGCACAATGGGCCTCTAGTCTTACCTATAAACAGGTTAAATTATTTGTGGCAGTAAATGCCAGCTCTTCACCAAGCCTCTGGTTCCCTTCCTCCTGGGCACAGAGTGAGACCCCTTTTCATGAGACTAGTTCCCACCAATAAAACGTGGTCAGAGGTGAAGTCTGTCATCTCTTAGCCTAGATGTTTAAGAAGCAAGTGTGCCTCTTGCATGCTTTCTCTTTCTGTTTGCTGGGAGTAAGTGGTACATAGGCCCAAACAGATGGAGAAAGCATAAATAGAGATAGGTTCTTTGAAATTTTATGTGGAAGGAAATTGACCACCAACCATGAACACCCACCTGGCCCATTATGTGAACAGAAAGCTCTATTGTGTTTGAGCCATTGTACCTGTTGGGGGTCTTTTTGGATACTGAAGCTATGCCTGCACTAATCAATGCAACTTATATTTTATGTTTTAGAGAATTAAATAACTTGAATGTCAGCATTCTGGACTTCCATCCTGGAAAATACAAGTGCTAGCAGAAAGAGAAGAGAAGCAGGAAAGAGTAACAATGTGAGTAACTATGACATTTACTGCATAGGCAGCCATGTGCCGAGCCTGTGTTAAGTGCATTATGCATACTGTCTCATTTATGCTTCACATCAACTTTAGGAAATACCACGGTACTGTCATTATCCCCATTACTCAGACGTGGACACTGGGGCGGAAATAACACTGAAACTAACTTAAAGATGGGGGAGAGGGAAACTGGAATGGTTCCTGAGTAGAAATGAAGATTTCTGTCTGTCCCCATTATTGGCTTTTTAACCAGAATGGCACACCCTCTCAGTAGATTCCTCCTTGCCCCTCAAGGACTAATGGGCATATTTAGGACTTCTCTTAGGACTCAGCCCCATCCCTTGTCCCTTAAGACTTTACCTGGGGAAGTACTGGCATATCTAGAGTCCATATCTAGGGAAAAGGCCAGTTCTGCAGGCTCACATGGGGCCAAGATCATGTCATCATATGACCCCCGACCTCTGCTGTGAACCTGAAACACCAAGGCCCTTTTGAGACCAAAGAGCCACAGGCCCCCATTCATCCATACAATCAATAGACATTTGCAGTTGAGAAACAGCTCTGAGGCTGTGGGAGCTGTAGCGCCCCTGCAGTGCAGGGTCAGCAGCCACAGCGGGGACTGCACAGGAATGACCTGAAGCTGCTGCAGTCCTGGAGGGAGTGGGCCCCTCAAGTTTTCAGGGTTTCCCAGGACCAGGAATGCCACAGCAGCAGCACAGCCAATCACTGCATCAGTTAAATTTTTCACCAAGAAATTTATGTTACGTTTAGCACTCATGAAACAATGCACTTACACCATTTTTACATGGCTGGATGGTATCTTTAAATACTATATGCAATTAACTTCATTTCATAACAGTCATATTTTATATTGTCCTCAGAGTCTTTTCTCCACCACCTTAGTAGACTGAGATGGGACTCCAGCACAATCATGTTCACTTACTTTAATTCCTTGTAATCCATAGCCAGGGGGGCCAGGAGGGCCAGGCAAACCTTTCTGCCCAATATCACCCTTTTGGAGAGAAATCAGACAAGTGTGAGAAGATTTAGGGAGAAACAATGTATTATTACTCTTAGCTCTGTTCTTACTTCAGTCTGATCAGGACCTTCATCCATACTGCCCATAAGCTATTTCATGTTTTATATAGAGCAGTGATTTTCTAATCTTTTTAAGAAAAGGTTAAGAAATAGCTCACTGCCGTTATGCAGTTGATGCATAAGAATCCTATGCAAAAATAGTACATATAATCTAAATACAAATGAAGACTTAAGGTAGGGCTGCTGGGCGTAAGCAGAAGTGCTGTCCCTGTAGCTTCCTCAGCTTGGGCTCCTTCAGCTGCCCTAACCCCATCCCCTAGACACCACGAGTAATAGGATCACTCACACACTCTGTTGTGTGTAACCTTTCATCTATTTCTCCATTTCCATATGGAATGCTCATTCACCGGGGTAGTGGGTAAAGAATCAGCGGATATTAATGTGGATCAGTGTTGAATTTTTGAGATATGTAAATGAAGCAAAAATGCATGACTTCCCAGTATGTATTCCTTATAACATAAGTGGATCCCATATTTCTTAAGGAAAAATTTCTGTGGCCAACTGAGATTGGAAAATGTTCTGCACCACGGTATGTGCCTCTCTTTGGAGATCTCTATCTCGTATTAAAATATTAAAGCCACTAAGAAGTCCCACAATAGAGTGATTAATGTAACTATCCCCGAAGTTCCCAAATTAATATTTGATGGAATAAGCTTTGTAAAGATGCTGGATTAATGTAAGTCAGACTTTTTCTTTCCAGTATGAAAAAAAAAAAAACAACTGTATCTTTTTCTGATTATAAGAGGAATACCTGCTCATTGAAAAAAAAAAAAAAACCAAGAAAAGAAAATTTAAACAGAAAGATGACACTGAAGGAAAAAAAATACATGCAATAACAATAGCTAACATCTTAGATGCAGTCTTCATCCACATAAAGTGAACTATGAGATTAAGAAATAGCCCACTGCCCATATGTAGCTGATGGACAAAAAAGAAAAAAAGGATAAAGAATCTTAGTAATTCTGAGATCCTTAGTAACTTTGATTCATACAGCCTCTCTGCTTTTCTCTCTGTATCAGGATTCTAATTCACTTCTGTGCATTTGGACATAGATACATCTATCTGAAATTTGAATCTGTGCTGGGTGGCTTACTGATACCTGTTTTCCCTATACACATGCCTGCTGGTTTTCTACTTTACTTTTTAAATAAATAAATAAATAATAACATTTGTTGAGCAAGTGAATGAGCGCTATTGACATTTTGAGCTGGGTAATTCTTTATAATGGGAGGCTGTCTTGTGCACTGCAGCACATTTAGCAGCATCTCTGTCCTCTACCCGCTAGATGCCAATACCAGTCCTCCTCCAGTTGTGATCCCCCTCCCGCTGAAATGATCCCAAATGTCCCCCTGCAGTGCAGAGAGGAGGACCAAATTTCTCTTCCTGAGAAGCTGGATTAAAAAAATAAGCGGATGAATAATCACCAAATTAAAGGTGGCAAGAGGAAGAGAAATATAAATAAGAGCAAAGGGAGCCAAAGGAAGTTTCTATTACCTTCCATGGAGACAGTAAGCCTAGACCAGTGGCCGGCAAACAGACCAAATATCAATGACTGAAATTTCTTTTGAGAACCAAATTTTTTTTAACTTAAACTATATAGGTAGGTACATTGTTATGAACTTAACTAGGGTACTCCTAAGCTGGCCTTTGCTAAAAACTAAAGGGGCCAAAGAGCTGTATGTGGCTCGTGAGCCGCAGTTTGCTGACCACTGGCCTAGATCCTTGCACTGAGACTCTGACAGTGTCCTACACACATATTCACAATAGATACATTGGCTGGTGTCCTGTTAAAAGACCACCTGAAGCACCTCTGGCCAAAGTAAAGATGTGTTTCTGAATCATGGCACAGCCTCGCATGAGCCTAGAAATATTTTGAGCACTTTGCACCCACTTTCTTAAGAGAGACTGGCTTATTAATTTCTTTGGGGGAAGACAATAGCTTTATAAACTTAAATGTTCTATTTACTGAAAGTTCATATGATATGAGAAAATAAAAGTTTTCATTAATAATCAAGAAAAAATAAGCAAACACCAAGAAGAGCACTTACTCTGAAGTTAATGTCCACTTGGTTGTCATTAACGGTACCTGACCCTCACACAGAGCACAGACCTGAGGACTCACCTTGGGTCCTTGGGTTCCTGAGCCCCGAGGCCCAGAGGGGCCCGGAGGTCCTCTGACACCTGGCTCTCCCTGAAAAGACAATGAATGAGAAGTTACTGGTATTCAAAAACATTTTATGCTATATAGTTAAAATAGTAAATATATGTCATAAACTTTTATATTCAAAATATATATTTTTAAAAATTCTACACCCTTGAATTTGTCCAAATTATTGAGTCCTTTTAACCCACATCACTTTCCTAAACTTGACAAAGGGAGTATTGTCTCCCTTTGTTTTCACTTCTTATTGCTCTTTATTCAATCTTCAAGCCAACAGGATCCATTTCAAAGCAATCAAGTCGATTAACTGCTTGGCAACCTTAATATATACTTTCTCCCCCCTTCCTTCCCCACCCCCCCAAAATCCCTTCTCTGGAATTTGGGGAAAAAATTACTTCCATTGTGAAAAGAGACACAAATAAAAGCAATTGTTAAAAGACATAACCCCATCCTAAACTAGTTGCTCTCATTTTGTGCAACAAAGATTATGCCACTTGGGTTGGGATTGGCTCTGTGATGCTTCTGTCACTAGGGTGGCTGTGACTGCAGGATAAATCCTATAAAGGCTTTTCAGATTCTCCAAAGAGTGACAGTTTTATAACAGGTGACTATCACCAGAAAGGTGGTAAGACCTGGTTAGGATAAGTTAGGTCCTGGGGGTTAGGATAAGTTAGGCCCTGGGGTTAGACCTGTCAGATGTGAATGATGATGGGAAGAAGCAGAGAAATAAAAATCTCTTCCATTAGCCACCTTCTATGTACCTAACACTTTACTAGGCCTCTTCATATATGTTATTTGATATAATTTAGTATTTCAACCTTCCTGTATCACAGTGATGACTAACTTACCTACCTACTTTGGGCCTCAGGAAATTCATCAGATAAACAGAAAAACATCTCCACATTTCACGGTGAGGACAATGAGGTGAGACTAAGAACGTGAGTGCTCCTATCACAGAGTCAAGCATAGAGTAGGCACTTAGCAAATGTTAACATTCCATGCCACCTATTTGGCTAAAGAGGAAACCAAAGTTTTCTCAAAGATGCACAACTATTAAGAGACAGAGTTAGAAGGATGTGGGAAAATGGGAATTCTCATATTTTGCTGGTACAGCCACTTTAAAAAACAGTTTGGCAGTCAATTTCTTTAAAAGTTCAACATAAATGTACCTTATAATCCAGTAATTTCACCCCTAGGTACACACCCAAGGAAAATGAAAACATATGTCCATACCAGGACCTACTGGTACATATAAATGCTCTTAGCAGAATTATTCATAACAGTTCCAAACTGGAAACAACCTAAATGTCAATCAACTGGTACATGGATAGACAAAGTGTGGGATATTCAGCAATGAAGAAGAATAAGCTACAGATGCATGCTTTGGCATGGATAAACCCTAAAACATTATTTGCAGTCAAAGAATCCAGACATATTGTTTTATTTCATTTATATAAAATGTCCAGAAAAGACAAATCTATAGCGACAGTAAATCAGTGGTTGCCTGGGGCCAGGAATAGGATTAACTATAAATGGGCATGAGAGATCTCACTGAGGGAAAGAAAATGTTCAAAAACTGATTTATGGTAACAGCTGTACAACTTGCTAAATAGTCGCAGAAATGGGTGAATTCTAGGATATATTAAATATGTGTCAATAAGGTTATTTTTGTTTTTTTAAAAAAGGACCAGAGCCAGACTTTGACCCTAGATCTCCCAAGCTCTTTGCTCTGGGTCTTGTTTTGTCCATGTCCTGTTAGGAACTAAATAATTTAAACCCTTCAACAGAGCAAAATTCAAAAATCTTAAGAAATGATGAAACTATTTATTTAGAAAAACAGCTTATCCTTTACTTTTTACTTAGAAACCTTAAAATACTTCTAGAGGAAACAAGCTTTAAAAGATTGAAGAAAACTTTAAATGATACTTTATTACTGACTTGATTATTTTTATCTTTATTTTTATATTACATATTTGGCTTCCATACCACTTTATGATTCTGGCCTCCAGTCTCCATCTCTTTCTGTTACTATTTAACTGCTTCTGAGACCACTGGTACTAATTATCCTTTTAATACCTCTCTCCTGACTCTCACATTTGAGTGGCCCCAAGTTTCTCCTCACTTAAATGATCACTCTGATCATCAAGAGTTCCAAGAATGCAATACATACATTTTTATGTCTTGTTTTACCTACATTTTTATCATCTCTCTTTTCTGAAGTACCTTTAAGGGTAGTGTCCACTCAGTGGGGGTCTCTAACTACAACTAACTGATTCACACACTTGAATTTAGAAAGGTATTTAGAGTCCCTCTGGCAAAACAGAGCACAGTTAAGCAGCTAAGTAGTAAACATAGTTAAGTAGATTTTTCCAGAATCATTAAATGTTTTATCAAAAAATAATGATCTTCTTTGCCTGGTCACTCTCAACCCCACCCAGATACAATGAATTCCTCTCTCATGTTTCTCTTCATCTCTACTTTTCCATGATGAGGTTAGACACTTGGTGTGATACAATGGGACTATATGGCCCCACCTATGAATTATTCTAGCTAAGAAAAACTGAATCTGATTCTGGCAGGTATCTAAATCTAACTACTAAAAACAAACAAACAAACAAACAAACAAAAGCAAGAGAGGATGGAGAAACATGTTGAACAACACCATAAGGATACCATCAGCAAAATCCTCAAGAAACCATCCACTAAGAAAGTGCAAAGAAAAAATGAAAGATATATAACCTTTGATTTTAAAAAGAGATGCAAATTCAAATGCAATGTGTGGATATTGTTTGGATTCCAATTCAAACAAACTATCATAAACTTAGAAGACAAACTGGGAAAGTTTAATGTTAAAAATTGGATGATGCTATATAATTACTATTAATACTTTTTAGTTTTGCTAAGGATATTGCAGCTAAGTGTTATCTCTTACATTAGAGAGACAAATGCTAAAGCTCTATATGGGTGACGTTTGGTATTTGCTGGGATAATGCAGTTCAAAGAGTAGAAGTGAGGGATGGGGGATACACATAAAGGTTGAACACAGATTTGTAATTGTTGAAGAAATGTGATAGGTAAATGAGAATTTACTAGTGTTTCTGCTTTTGTATGTGCTTAATAATTTTCATAATGTTTTTGATAACATCTTTTTAAAATCCATGAACAATGCTTCATAAATATCTCACCAGTGAGGGTAAGAAAGTTACTGTGATGTTCATCCCTAATCAGGAGAAGACCATGAGATTTTAAAGATAGAAAGGTGGACAAAGAGGAAGAGGAAGAAGGCAGATAGAGATTGTTAATAAAGAAGTATTTCTTTTAAGAAAGAATTTGACATGATACTTTCCTTGTGATGGACTTTAGTAAACACTGCTGTCTCAAATTGTATGTATCATACTAACACACACATAAACATGCACACACACATCCTTGATGGGAAACCAAGTGGGAAAAATAGTTGAAGTTGTGAGTTTACCTTAAGCCACTCTCATCAAGTTTGTTATTGTTATTATTTTTTCCTCTTATTTAGTTCCCCAAAACCCTCACCATTTAAAAATGTCTGGGGCTAAATGCAATAGCATAGCTGACCACAGGGTTGCCCTTTTTATACATAAACTTTGGCAAATGAGCTTTGTAAGGGTGTGGTCCCATGTTATATGTAGTACTAAAATATTTACCTCAAACAAGTTTATTCTTATTCATATAATTAGCTATGTTTTATCTACCAAAGTATTCTGTTGTATCTTTTGACCTATGTGAACATAATCTAATACAGGCCTAATGAAATTGATAGACCTTAAATCAAATTGTAACACAGACTGCAGATGTTAGAGTTGGTCAGCAACATAGGACCAGGGTCATTCCTTGGTATACAGTATATGTATCATACTTTTCAATCGATGGGAATATCAGGGATTTAACGAGCTGTGTGAGTCCATAGAGGTAGTGCCTCTCTACTATGTGAGGTTTTAAAAATGCATCCTGCCATTTGTTCTGTGTGCCACGTGCCCATACTAGGCTACAACACACAGCTAGGTGGATGTGTGTAGAAGAGGACTCCCTTCACACTTGATAGCAGCAGTTACACCACAGTGCAGCACCAGTGGAACCGAAGGAGTGTGTTTACCATGACACTTCCGTTTTGTTGTCAGTGGGTACAGCAACACTCACAAGTAAAAAGAGTTGCAACAGGTACTTGCACAGCTGGACTTAGCTTCCCATGCAGAATCTGAGGGTTGCTGGAGCCTGCAGAGGGAGCCCTTGCATTAGGAGACTAGGAGCAAACCAGAAAGCGAATTGTGGAGTTGGCCTTTGTAGCTACACCCATCAATTTCATAAGACCATAGCTTAAGTCCTACCCCTCCTTGCCACTTCCACTCTCTCAAAAAAGAACAACTATTAGATGGCCAACAGTTTCCTTTGGCCCACAAAGGGGATTCTAGACAAGACACTCCTTTCATTTTAACAGGAAATGGTCAAGTTTAGGACCATCTGCAGTACTTGTATATGTGAACTTAACAAATGATTTGGTGAAGATTTTACTTTGATCATAACCTTGCTGAGTGATTAATTTAAACCCCTATAAAATCATTCATAATCTTAGTAATCACTTTATTGAATCTTTTACTTTTTTAAAAAAAAGCAAAAAGCAAAAGCACTATCATGATTATTCATTTTCTCATTGGTAAATCTTTGCTTTGGCTCATCTTAAAACTATTATGATTAATAATATAATAAATAATAATTAAAATGTATTAAGTTTATTACATGGCAGTTACTTTACTTTTCATTCATTTTCTTATGTGATCCTATGAACATCAACTTTCTCCAATTTACAAATAAGGAAAATAATATAAATACATGATTTGCCAAAAACCATGCAGCCAGAGGCAATTTAAACCAAGGTTTGACTCCAGAGTTCATCTCTCATCTTTGGCTGGGGCTGGATAAAATATGCTAACTTCTCCATAGACATCTGCCACTGCAAACACATGGCTAAGTGGCTGTGAAAGTTCTTTTCCTACATCGAG